AGTTTCCAAGTTTAAGTTTTAAGTTTCCACACGAGGCCTTTAGTCATTCTATCGCAAAGGAATATTTTCTCAAAAGTCTCGATAGGTTATCTGAAGGATGGAATTTTCTAGTTTGTTTTTTTGGAATTTTTGTTTTTAGCTCTTAGTATTTTTGGAAGTGTGAGGCTGAATGAAGAAGAACGAAAAAATAAACGTGTATACTAGCCATTATTCAGGAGTAACTATTATATTTCATCGTATATTTTTTTAAGGACAAAGTATAAATATTTTGAAAAAATTTTTATTTAAAACAATGGACGCACTTCTCTGGCTTTTCAGGACTTATGAAGTCTAACCATTTCTATTCTCAGTTTTTTCAAAAAGCTATCGCTTTGTGTGCATTGGATTGGCCTCCCCAGTGGAGTTTCGCTGTGCGTGGAAGTCTCTCGATAAATTTCAATTACTAACCCAATTAAAAAATGTTGTGCGCTTTTAGGCGAACAAACAATGAAAAAAGCGAAAAAAATAAATAAAATAATAAATAAATGCATAAAAAAAGGGAAATATTTTCAATATATTTGCGCAGAGCTTAAAAAAGAAAAACAATGCGAGTGGAAAATGCAGCTACAGCAGCAGCAGCATCATCAGCAGCGGCAGCGGCTCAAACCATTTTTAATTTATTTTTCCTCTCCCGCTGATGTCGCCCAACGTTTGCCGACGTCACACATACGCACCATTGGCCCCGGCGTCTGTCCTGGGGTTTTTTTTATGGCCACCGCTGCCGCTGCCACTGCCTTTGCTGTCGCTGCCCCGACTCCCTGCCGTCGAGCTGTCCCACAGCTCCATTGCCCTTTCCCCAAGCCTTCAGTCCCTCCCCACCCATCGATGGTGGCAATCAGTGCACCTATATATGCACCCTGATCCTGGACCCAGGACATTGCTGTGCAATCGCTCCGGCCCGTTTGCTTGCACGCGATTCCACATTTGGGCATCTCTTTTGCTTTTTGTTCATTTTTTGAGCGTTCGCCGTCACCGAGGCCAATGGTGGCGTCGACGTGTTGGAGCGGTATCGTTATATATTTTTATATATTTTATTTTTCATTCGCGCACGCATGCAATAAAACTTGTAAAAAACGCCGATTCCCGGAAAAAACGAACAAGAGGTAAATAATGTACAGCGGCAGGCAGCATCAGCATCAGCAGCAGCAGCGGCAGTTGCTGTCATATGTGCGTGTGTGCAAGCGAAGGGTTGGGGCTGGGAATGGTGGGTGGTATTTTGGTAGGGGGTGGTCAAGGGGCTGTCAGACAGATGGGCAGCCAATGCGTTGCATACTTTTAGGCGCATCGATGCATTTTTACAGGGGTTTGGGGACCTTTTTTTCCAGCATTTGGGGCGTTGTCGGTTTTGTTCGTTTTTTGTGCGTACACTGGCAGCGGCCGTGGCAGCGGCAGCTGAAGCGGCCTGAAAATAATGCGCTGTACTGGCACTTTTGACAACAACAACAATGTTAATGATAACAAAAACAACAATAACAACAGCAAATAATTGAAGCGCTTGCAGAGGAGCCCAGAACTGCCATCATCCGCTGCAGTTCCGTTCGCTTTGTGCTCTTTTTTAAATTGCAACTGAAATATGCGTTAATTTATGTTGCGTTGTTAAGCCTACAGGCCGGCACACCCGCACACCCACACACCCCGAACACAGCCACCCACCCCTGGGCCAGCTCTTTTTTGTGCGTAAAATTGCGCCTTCCTTTCGCCGACCCTTTGGCTATATCCCTATGCCCGCCAACCCGCGCCGCATCCTCATTATCTGCCTGCCAGAACCGACAACGAATCAGTTTTTCCAACTGCCCCAACCCGAGATCCCCGACTTCTCACATTGTTGCCAGCATCGGTTGCATTGGTTTTTTACCAGAAGAATTAAACAACAATTCGCTTCCTTTGTTGTCTCTTTTTTAAATCCCCGATTTGCTGCAAAAATTTAATAGTTTCTCAAATATGCAATATATCTCAATATTGATTTTTATTAATTGAGTCGAACTTTGGACAATTATGGATTATGATGATACAGTTATTGAAAAAACGGAAGGCTTTTTCAAAAGGCTTATTTCCTTTAATATTAAATCTTGATTTTGACTTATTTTCAGTTTAAAAATAATAGACAAAATAAATAGACAATAATTCTTATAAACTCCTATAAACTGTCCCTTAAAAATGGAACTGGTTTGATGTCAAATATCTTCGTTGGTCCTTTTATTTTTCCCTAAAATAAAAACTCTCATGGTGGCGAGATGTGTGGACTTTTTATTGGTGTCCTTTGGCACAGCATCATCATCAGAGCATCAGAATCAAGTTCACATAAATACAGACAACCGATCCACAAACAGACAAAGAAGTAACCAAAACTGGACATTATCTTTGCCGAAAAGTGAGGAAAAAAGGAGTCATGCGGGCCAAATCATAGGAAAACATCAGCATCGGATTCTACATCGGCCAGTGTCGAGCCAAGAACCCACCCCAATAAAATGGACCCGACGGAGGCTGAGGATGACCATCGGTCTCAAACCAGTCTCAAGATGGGAAGGGTTGATGCTCATCTTGGCCGGGATGCGTGTCAAAGTTCAGCGGCAGTTGAGTCGATGTCCAGTTTGCAAAACCGGACTGAAGCGACGATCTCTGCATTCTGGGTCTGAATCCGTTGAAATTTTGATGTGAAAGTTCAGCTAAACGAAGGAGGTATTTCTTATAAAAGTTTCATGTCCGGCGACGGATGCGGATGCTGAGATCGAGCGTGAGAAAGTATCCTTTATGGTACCAAACTTGTTTATATCTAATGTCCTGTCGCAGATGCTGCACTCCTGAACCGGCTCCTGAAGGCAGCTTCTTTCGGATCAACTACTTAGCCGTCCAGTCGATTTATTCATGCTATTTGGTCAGTTGGTTAATTGCTTACCAAATGGCAAGTAGCCAGCCCCGGTAGACCAAACATTAGCTCACCAAATGGCCAAAAGCCATCCATTGTTTGTCTATAAGTTGCTTCGGTAATTGTCCTCGAAAGGAGTCGTCGTTTAGGTTCACATCCTGGTCGTTCCTGGCGGGTGACGTGCTCCGCCTTATTAGCTTAGATATTCCATTAGGCGCATCGATTACTCAGACATGCATTGATTTTTTCACAAGTGACTGCCAATTTCAATGCATAAGCGATGAGGCCACGGCCACTAATGAGCTTCTGGCGGGAGACCTTTTCGATTGCCTTGATAAATTTGGCATCTATTGGTCCAATGTTATTCGATACTGTGATCATTTTAAAGTGTTTTTTTAATTAAAATTTGTGAATATTGTGAAGAAATTATTTGGCCAATCCAAACAACCCAAAAAAACTTTTTAAGAGCGAATAAATGGGTAGAAATTAAGTTCTTAGTTGGCTTAGTTATATCACTGATTGAATAATAAAAAATAATAAATCCAGTCCAAATATAAGATTTTTAATAAGGTTCGAAGAAATTTAATAGTAAAAATATACATATTATTGCATAAATAATACTTGAAAGTCCAAGAGACATATATGAATTTCATATCTTGAACATTCAAGATATTAATAGTAGTAAATTTTATTTCCATTTTATCTTTTCACTGAAAACGAATAAAGTATATCGATGAAGATATGATACAAAATAATATTTAGAATTCAGAATGCAAAATCCAGAATAGATATTTTAATTCTTTGTGAAACATTATTGAATAAAAAAACAACCCTAGGAAAATATACTTAAATAAAATAAATATTTATTAAAACATACGTATGTCCTCAAAGGGGATTTTGTCGCACTACATCCTCGAAGCTTTTAGAAATTTCAAGAATATATAAAAGAGCAATATGACTTTACCAAAATAAATAATGCTGAAAAAGTACCATTTTCCGTTAAACATTTTTTTGGCGGCCAAAATTCAACCAGTTTTGAGGATAGTTTTGTCATATTTTTAAATCGGGTCCAGTAATTATGTTGAACCCGGGCCCTCGAATCAAGACGCAGACAGAAGCCATGGCAACAAGATAAAGCGGTTCTGGGACGGTGTTGACCAATAGTAGGACAAGATAAATTTCAGAGACATAAAAAAATACACAAGATAATATTTAAGACATAAACAATGCTTCTGCACCCTTAAGGAGAAATAACCACCACCCAAGACAATCCCGTTTATGAACGGGCAATATTGACACTTTTTAAAGCATGCTTTTTGGCGCAATGCTAAATGTGATTTCTTCCTGATTATGCTTATTTAAAGGCCGCATCTTTCTGTCTTTTTTCACACAAATACTCATATTTTCCGCAACAAATATTTGTGTAGTGTGGCGCAACATGTGACGCCTCGGTGGTGAGCTCAGCACAAAACAAGCAAACAATACACACTTCAAGGAGAAAAAAGGCGCAACAGGCGGCTGGTTGGGAATGGGATGGGTGGCCACCGAGTGGGGGTGTTGGGTGGTTATGTGGGTGGGATTGCCGGCATCTAAACGTCATCATCGTCTTTTATTGAGCGAGAAAAGCGAGCGAAACCGGCGCTCTTACGCGCTCTGAGCACAGCCCAAAAGTGGGCTACTAAATATGCAAAACATCCATTAGCTGGGTTAGGGGTGAGTTCGTCCTCGTCGGGTTGGCTCAGCCCGGCAACAAGAAGCTCAGCAGGGCTGTTCGAGATTCGCCGGCCAGCAATTGCGCAACTTATTGAGGTAGGCATCCAGGAGGCTTATCTGCGAGATTCTCCAGCATGTGAGGAGCCTGCTGCATGGACTTCACCTCAACCCCTTCGTTGGGTTGGCTTTTCTGCAGTTTGGTTCTCGGTGATTCGGTTCAAAGTTCAAAGATGCCCGTTCAGACAACCGGTTTGTATCTGGACCAGCCTGTCTTCGACTGGACCTTCGAGGACCTTCCTCCGAGGCGGCCAAGCATCCGCATCTCCTCGAGATCTTCTCGGTGGGACGTCGATCAGTTGGTCATTCAGTTGAGTTTGAACTTTCATTCGGTCGCGACGCGTTCGCTGTTGTTCTTTTCTTTTTGGCCTTTAGTTATTTGTTGAGGCGAAAAGATTTGGGCGCTTGTTTTTCGTTTCTGTGGGATTTCTGTTAAATTTTAATATCGTTAAAAAGCACTGTTTTGTTGACTTTTGTTGAAAAAAAATTGTTTAAAAAAAATCGTGTTTGTTTTTAGCCAATTTTCGTTGAGTTTTGTGAAAAAAGATTGTGTAGAAAAAAGTAGGTTTCAAAAATATTGTCTTTCAACTCCATTTTTTATCCAAAAACAGATTAACAGAAACTAATGTTAATCTAAAAACTACGTGGTTTATTTAATTTGCATAATTGAATTTAAATATATATTATAAATTGAAGAATTCAAAATTAGTTACACCTTCGGGCATTAACCTTTTCAGGATATTCGACGAAATCCCACCAAACGAATAATAGAATACAGCTGAAGCTCAAATTTTAAACAAAATTCTATCCCTGCCCAATGCAATCGATTATCCCTTGGACTTGGCTCTGATTGTGCGAGTTTTCAATTGAATAGTGTGATTTGAAATTGTTGCCCATATCCATTAAACCATGGAACACTCCAATGGCCGCCGCAAGCCTAGCCTGGACCAGCCAGAACCACCTCACCCACAGTCCTCGGCAGAGGAGTGGAGTGGCAAGAGGAAGCTCTACGCCATCGAGGAGCGGGAGGAGAGCTCGCCGGTGACTGTGGGCGAGGGGGAGGCCGAGACGGCTTACGACGCGGACGTGGACGAGCTGGAACAGCCGGGCGGTGAGCGGGAGATTATCTACGCGCTGTTCCAGCCCTGGGCTCTCTCCACCTACGGCGATCAGGCCAAGACCAAGACGATAACGCTGCGCAAGAAGGCACGCATCCTGAAGGCTCTGGAGGGCAAGGAGCACAGTCGCCCGGACAGCTCCAAGTTTCGATTCTGGGTCAAGACAAAGGGTGAGTTTTAGCCTCACAAAGTCTAAAAGTACTTAATCATATCCACATATCATTAAATGATAATCTTAGTAGCCTATCTTCTTAACATAATTACAATAAGCTTGCTCTTAAAAATTTCATATTAACTTGTAATACAAATTACCATTATTAGGTTTTACTACCAACCGTCCCGATGGCTTCGAGGAGGCACCTGGAAGTCGCCGGAGTCTGAAGCCTCTTCCCACATCTGCCATTTTGTCAGATAATCCGAGAGATGTGGACCTATTTGCTGCTTCCACCAGCAAAGGGTTCGGTCGTCGGACTTACCGCAAAGTGGCATGTGTGGAGGAGTTCTTCGATATCATCTACAATGTGCACATGGAACTGGGCGGACGCAGTGGGATGCATGCGGGCCAGAAGCGCACCTACCGCATTGTGAGTGTAGTGTATAGCTATTTTTAATGATTTGATTTGATAACTTCATTTGTTATTAATAATATTAACTCAAAAGCCATTTACTGTTGAGTAATTTAGTTGTACCTTTTTCCTTTCTTCCCATAGATAACGGAAACCTATGCGTTTCTACCCCGCGAGGCAGTAACCCGCTTCCTAACCATTTGCCCCGAGTGCAAGAAAAACTTGCGCCCCTCCTCGCCCCTGGGGGGTGGAAAGGAGACCGACCTGGGCGGCAATGAAAGCTCCTCGGAAGTGGAGAACTACCTGAATTATTCATCACACACGGAGAGCTCGCTGGAGGCGGGGCCCACGGCCAAGCGTCGCCGTCATTCGAGCGCTGACCTCAAGGCCTCGATGCCGGTGACCGGCGGCTTGGCTCTGGGCGGAAGCGGAGGAGGGAGCGGGGGTGGGAGTGGCAGTGGGACCATGGTGGCAAGTGGCGTAAGCGATGTTCTGGGGGCACCACCGCCGAGCCCCAGTCCCAAGCCACTCGGGGCACCGGGGGCAGTTGAAACCACACCGGTTAGCGTGCCCAAAATTCGGGTCAAGACCCAGCTGCAGCGTCCGTTGAGTCCGCCGGGTGTGGCCAAAGAGTCGGCCCAGGTTCAGTCCCAAACGAGTGTTAGTGGCAACACCAAGGCCAATCCTCCATCGCATTCGAATTCGAGTCCCCAAAGCTTTGATGTGCAGCTGTTGAAATCGCGGGATAATCTGCTTCGCTACTATGACTTCATGAGACGTTTCTATGCTGGCGAACAGGTTTTAGCACCGCCCATCTACGGCAGCAGTCTGCTTCAGAGCCTCAGCTATCCAACCAGCATCTCAACCCCATCAACAACAACCCCTACAGTCCCGACAACCCCTACCACTACGTCTACCATCACCACCACTTCAGATTCAGTACTGGCACCACCTCCCAAGGCATCTTCTCCCGGTCCGAATCCTGGTCCTTCCGCGTTCAAAACTTCTCCGGACAGCTTGCTGCGTGCTCGCTCTCCGACTGTCTCATCTGCCACGCCCACCGCCCCTCCCAAAGATAGAGCCCACACACCGATCAATCTAACCAAATCTTTATTTTCCAGTTCGAAGACGGGTAACCCGGCCTCCACGTCAACCCCTGTGGCCAGCGGCCCGGCACCGCTTAAGCTTGAGCTTCCCAGTCCGCCCAAGCCGCTGCCGGAGCTGCGAATTCCTCAGCTGCGTGGAGTGCCGCCAGTGGAGTTGTCTTTGCCGCTGCCACCACTGGACTTGGAGCGATTGAAGCCAATTACTTCGACGTATTTGCAGTTGACGCGCAGCATGGGACTCAGTGACGAGGATGCCCTGCGGTTCGATAACCTGGTGAGTAAGGACTTTAAGTATTCTCTATAGAGCTAAGAATTCCTGGTGGTATTTGATCTCAAATGAGCAATCAAAGCTGCTTTTTTATACCATACATCTTTTTATCCAAAGTTACCAGACAAACAATCCTAAATTTGTTTTATATTGATATTTCACGTTTTATTATATTAAATTTGAGAGCCTTTGGCGATTTACTGCATATATTAATAACTTACTCTACAAAAAGTTTATATAAATTTTACTATTGTTGTGCCCAAAACAATTTAAAAACACGTTCGCACAAAACAAGCACAGAATCGTGTGGAATTCTTCAAATATTTATGTGCTTTTTATTTATTGACCGCCTAAAAACAGGCACCATTTTTTAATTTTTGCATTTTGCTGCCGCCTAGAGCGAGATTGCTGCTTATTTACTTAATAAATGTTAGTATTTAGTTACCCTACCTATGCTTAAGAATCAACCTTTTATCGACTTTCATACGCTGGATCATCCAACAATTTTTTACTAATCTAGTTTCTTTTTTCTCTGACATGCTTGGCTTATAAACGTAACGCAACTAATGCAATGCTAACGAGCGAGAAAGACAATGACAGAAAAAGACACATGTCGGCAGGACAACAAGTACCACGTTGCTGACTGCTGCACCACCCACCTAAAAGCCCCAAATCAGTACCAACCACATACACTTTCGGCCCACCAAGCGCGCTTCCATCGAGCTGCGCACAAAATTATTCAATAGCTTTTTTACGTATTTTAATAATTTTGCTTTGAAATTCAAATTGAATTTCTCGTTCTGCTTCCTTTGTGTTGCTTTTTTTTAATTTTTGATCTCTTAATGCTTGAATTACTTTTGGCTGCAATTTATGTTTTTTGTTTAAATTATGTTGTTAACATGCTTAATCCATTAATGTTATTATTTATGTATTATTTTTGTTGATTTTCGTTATTATTGCAATTATATTTTTATATTCTTTCTTTCCTTTTTTACAGCTCAGTTGTTAGCGAAAAACCAAATATCGTTTGTAATAAATTAGCTATACAGAACTATTTATGCTTTTTTAATTAATTTGGCCAGCGATCTGAAAATAAAGATATTATAACCTTTTCCCATTGTATATGTAAACACGCGTAGTTTTTGAATATTTTAGTTCCAAGCTTTGTAGCTGCTTATTTTTAGAGAGACCCAGAGCACTACAGGTAAGATCGTGTACTATAAGCAATATTGTGAAATCTAACGAAAACAATGCCTATTTCCGGAAAGGTATGTGTAGGTTAATAATTTTCCCATTGGAAAATAAACTCAGACGCCGTCACTATCTCGGGGCTTAACCCGTTGATAAGAATCTCTAAATGCTTTTCAGTGGATCGTATACATGTTTATTTTTGAATATTTTACATGACTACATAACAAGAATCGAAATGTGCAGGGTTTTCCATATATATTTTATGATTATTGCGGTTACTTTGTGGGTTTTGTTTGTTTCAAGGGCTCGTTGTCCCCCTTGACGGTGCTCAGGACAAACCTGGCACTCAGAACACGTCCCTTGCTGTCCACAATGGTCCTGACCACTTCGCCATTCTCCTCTTCGATTTCCGAGGGAGTAAGATCGACCTTTTCTAGGAAATCGTCTATGGCTCTATCATTTGATGGAGCATTTCCCTTAGGGGGTGCTAGTGTTGGCAGTGGAACTAGGGTTCTTTGGGTGGAAGTGGGCTGCTGTACCGGTACCCACTCGTCCGTGTCGCCGTCACCTAGTGGTTCTCTGTTAGCTGGATAGTTTGGTGAAACATCTGGTGGACTGGAGCCACCCGCTGGTGAAGGTGGGTTGCCGGCTTGGGGGTTCGGGTTGCGGTTTGGGGGACTTGGGCGTCCAAAAGATGGGGCCGGCGGCAAAGGTGGATTATTTGGATAAATTCGGCTACCTATATTTGGAAATCCAGGCAGGTCGAACCTGGGTGCCAAGAACGGGTTTTGTCCGGAACCCGAGTGGGTACTCCAATGGCTGGTGGTGACCGTGTATTGACCGCCGGAGGGATCCGTTATAGTTTTGGTTTCGACATGGGGCGTTACTCCGGGAGGCGGGCTTAAGTCAGGGAAAAGAGTCGCAAACTGGGGAAATCCGATTCCAAGGGGATTTATGAAGGGATTGTCGAAGAACCTGGCCAGAAAGTCGGGTTCTAAGATAGGACGAAAAACTTGGGGAGCCGGATTGGGAGCGTATCCCCAATTCTGAATGTTGTCTGGACCACGATAGACAACAGATTCCTGCCTGGACGGAAGCCTTAACTCCGATAGTCTAGTCCGAGAAATCTTACTGCCGTCGGGACTTAGCACGTACGTCACTGAGGTTCGCACTCCGGCATCGTTCTGGTTAGTTTTAACCAGCGGCTGTCCACTGAGCCTCAATTCATCATATTCTGCATCGGATAATCCAAATTCGCGGGCCTGGTTGCGAACCCATTCGTTGACCCTGGTTGGGTTGGCTCGAGCAGCTCCCAACTGGAAGACAAATAGGAAGTCACCAGGGCTGTTTTAAAGCGCAGTATCCATGACCCACCTCTACTAGTAGTACCAAGAAACAAACAACGCTAATCAAAAGATTAGACTTCATCCTTATTAATCTTGTTTGCGCACTCTTCTAAACACTCTGACTATTTGAATAGAACTGATCTTGGGTTTCTAAAACCTCTCTGATTATTACTAGCTTTGCTATCGCCAACTAATCAGCGATCACGCTCAAAAATACTATATATGTATGAGGTTCCGTGCTCTATGAAGTCATTCTTCAAAGCTGCTTAAAGGTTATCGCTGTATTATACATAGTCTAATTTTTAAATCGCTAGGCAAATTTATTCAAAATTTAAATTTTTATTTACAAAATATACATGAAATATATTAAATGAGAATATATTTTTTATATAGTAATACAAATGTCTTTAAAAAAGCTAAACATACCTAAAGTATCATTGTTTTATAAATCGCATCTCAAGCTCTGGGAAATAACCGGTTCGGTGATGCAAAAACCCTGGGTGCTTACTTAAGTTTTTGGTCTTAAAAAATATACCCTACTCTTAGTATAGAAGTAATAAAATGTAAATAAAATAATTTCAAGAAAATCCTAAATTTAAATGATTTTTTTTAAATCATTATATATTTGTTAATCACGAATAGTTTTCACCTTGAAACGACTATCTATCAGACTATAAATGTCGGCCGATCCGAAGCTTAGGGTATAAATTCACCTTAAGAATATTCTATTAACATTCAAAGTTATAGTGTGGTTGGCAAATTCCTCAATTCCGATTAGCAAGAATTTCCACAATTTAACAAAGAATAATCACATTTAATCATTGGTTCTAATGCCTCTAGAATTGGTTATAAAATGTATTTGATCACAAAGAAGTTGTTTTGAAAATTTTTTCTATATCTATTATAAAATAGTAGAAGACAATCGAAATTATTATGATCTGCTTAAAAGCCCTAAAGCAGATTACACCCATAATATAAAAAAAAGATTGACAAAAAGCACAAAATAATTTAGCAATGCAAACACGTAACGATGAGTCCGCAAAAATAAAAGTACTCGTTGGCTTTTCCTCCCAATGGAGAAGGATTGAGTAAGGCCTCCAAAAGGATATTGAAGATGTGTCCTGGTGATAGCTTGGCTTCTGGTTGGGTCAGGGTCCAGAACGGCCTTTTCAAGGGTGCAACAGCAGGACCGGACTCTGGGCTTGGCCTTGCAGGATTTACGCTGAAAAGACGCCGTAAACTTTGAATGCCAACAGAGCGGAGGAAAAAAGGGACCAAAATTGGAATTTGATAGACGCCCGGGACCTGGTGCTTGTCCTGGTCCGTGGACCCTGTCCTCATGTCCCACCTTTGCTGCCCCCCACCCAGTCGTATCCCTTCCGAGTTCAGGGGCCGTTGCACGTTTCCCCTTTCCCCAAGGCTCCCCGATAGCCCTTTTCCCATGCAGAGCGAGTATTGACGACTTTTTAAAAGGGTCGAAGCAACGTCGACGCTGTCAAGGATAAGGGGGCTCTGGGCGGGGCGAAAGAGTTAGGGCTCCCTGCCGAACAGGGCTCTCAGGGTCGTGGCGAGGGGGTGCGTGCTATAAACCAACCGATTTGAACGCTTTACAGGTGAGGCCAAGCGAGGCGAAGGTGTCCGTGTTTGCCAGGGTGGCGAGGTAGTCGGCCAAAGTTATAAAACTTTACAGTTAACTAGGCTTGGCAATCAAGCTAAAAGCAAAGGCGTCGTCCTCGTCCAGTCCATGTCCTGCTGCTACCTCTGCTCCTGTTCGGAGTCTCGCGCCTCTCGCCTGGCGCCAACTAGCGACAGTTGCCCCCATCCCTAACCTCCTTTGGGTCACCCAAAAAAAAAAAAAAGGTAAACACCAAGCGAGTCCCTGCACCTCTAACTGTAGACAGGTCAACACCCACTTGACCATGTGTGCGAGTGTTTCTGGCCTGGTCCTCTGTGTCCTGTTCGTGCTTTCCTCGGTCCCCGATGGGTGAGTCAGTTTGGCTCCATGCCACCCTGACCGTCCTGCCCCCACCCACTGGGATTGGCTTGGCCAATGCTCCGTATATTTCTTCCAAATCGTTTTCCCATTGCCTATTGTTTCGGTTTTTTAGGACGTACTTTTTATCCTTCTGGATTCTGATGTACAGTTATTGGAAAACACATTTTTTTTGTTGGTTTTCAGAGAACAAGTAAATCATTTTTGGGTGCCAGTGTACTTTATTTTTACCAAAAAAACTAACATGACTGTGGTTCATCTTAGAGAGTCATTTGATCTTGAAATTAAGTAAAAATTGACGTAAATGAGTATCTACAATATAGTAATGTAATACTATATATATAATAATAATAAACCTACTATTGGTTTTTATAGGTTCACCTATAGAGGTTCTTTTTCGTCAAGCTTTAGAATGTTAAAATTAAAGCCTGATATTACATAAAGCTTATCAGAAATCTGTCATTAAAGAAATCCCTCTTTTACGCTATGATATCCCTAAAATATAGGTTTAAAGTGACTTAGGATGCAGCCCCTTGAGACACCCTTAGCCAGGATCGCACTTTCAGATCCACAGCCCCCAGCCAGTCCACTAACTACAAGTCCAAAGTCCCAGACCCCAGGCCCAAACCAAGGGACCGAAGCTTCTGTCTGTCAGCCCTCGATGGGCGGGGAGCGGAGGTTTAGTGCCTCTGGAACATGGGTCGGGCACTTCTTCATTAATTTTCATGGCGGCACAAGAACAATGCCCCGCCCACCCCAAAACCAACGCCCTTTCCCGCTCCCCCCCTCGATGCGGAGGAAGCAGAAATGTTGGAGCGGCGAAAAAAAGTTTCTCCGGCTCGGACCAAAGTTGTGGGTGTGTTTTGTGCAAATGAGTGAAGGTGGAGACGCTGTTCTCGTCCTGTCTCTGCTTGGCAGTGGCTGTGTGTGTGTGTGCGCTGGTAGCAGGGTATCTGTGTGTGTGTGTGTGGGTTGATTACTTTCTGTTTAGGTGCCACCCCCCACCATTCTGAACTGCCTTTCGAAAAGGGACTTCTGAAGGCAAAAACGCATTTTTATGTTTGCTCGCCTGCCCGCTAGACGGTCCTTGTTCTCTTCCCTTTTTTATATCGTAAGCAGGATGCGAAGCCTTTTTTTGCGCACAGCCACCCGGCCACACCCATTGTTATACCGGGGCGGGGGTGAGGGCGGGGGCAAGGGCAGGGATTGTCTGTCGGGCGGGGAAAATCATCCCAACCCCATCGAAGCCTGTCCCAGGGAAAAATTGCAATTTTCGCTGAGGAAAAAACCCAGAACAACGTCTTGGAGTCGCTTTGACATGGCCAGGGACCGAGGACCGAGGACCGAGCACCAAGGACCAAGGACCAAGGACCAGGGACCAGTTACCCTTACCCCCTTGGGCTGCTCTAATGAATTTCCGTCCAGGCAACTGGGTAGCATCCCTGTTAAAAAGAAAATAGCAGAAGAGGAAAAAAACAATTAAAGTAGGATTTGGAGGAGTTTGGGCGGACGCACCCATAATCATAATTGCGCTCGAGAAACTTGTCGATTCCTTAGTCTCCGTCTCCATCTCCGTCCGGCCCACCCCCACCGAAACTTGGACCCGCATCGGACAACCCCTTTTCCTTCTAATTGTCAATTCTCGTTTTTCTTAATTGTCCACTGAGCTTTCAGATGGTTTTCCCTTTAAGGTCCTTCGTTTTCGTCATTCGGATATTTTTGAAAATGTCCTTTCTTCAATTCGCCAGGAGTTTTTATTTCTATGGCAGTGCCCTCCCCCCCCTTTTTTGTCACAATTCTTGAACGATTCGGTGTTTACTGATGAGTTGTCGAACAAGGTGGCAATTACTTACTTTCCCTAGCCCAGAGACTTGCGTTTTAATTACTTTTTTGAAAAAATCCCAGCATTAAAGGAAATAATTCAAAAGATCCTAAAGAATATTCTTTCATTTTTCGTTCTAAATTATGGGGTTATAGTTGAAAAATTAATTACTTTTTGTATCTTTTATTTAAGAGGAACTCTTTCCAAAAATTTTAGTCTTTAAAGAAATGAAACTTGTTGCATACTTTTGTGGGTTTTCGTTCGAAACCAACCTCCTTGAAGAGTTCTCAGACATTCGATTCCCCCAATCAATGGCCCATCCATTTCGATAAACAATTTGACTCCAATTACCGAAATACTAAAAAGAAGTTCGAAGACAAGGATACTAGGGGAAAGAAGAAGCAAAAATTCATTGCTACCGATTGAGCTTCCGATGAATGCAGCAACAAAGCGCCTGTTGGCGGCACGACACGGAACGATGACGTTGATGGCAAATAAACAAAAGATTAAGCCCAGACAATAGTAAACAAACATCGTCAAAGAACGAGGAAGCGAAACAGGACGAAACAGGAAGCGACAAAAAATGAAAACAACAATCAAATAATGAATTCCTTTGGCAAACGACAAATTGATAAATTAAACGCCACTTATGGTTGTAGTATGTATTAGTATACCATATGTGTGTGTGGTGGGGGTCCAAACCGGAAGAAAGTGCAAAAAGGAAATAAAAAGAACGGCAAGGACGCGCAGAGAAAAAAACAAAAGCAACAAAAACAACCGCAAAGTGCACGCAAATTGAGGCAACAACAACATAAACAAGCAGCACCAGCAAATAAAAGAAAAAATAAAAGTCAAAGGACTCATTCACACACATAGACACTCTCGTGCCATCTCGCACTCGCACTCACACACTTACACTCAGGCCAGACGAAAAAATAGAAGCAAAACAATTAACGTCCTTGACGAAAATGTATTTTTTATTTTATTTCATTTGCTGCCATCGAAAAAAGCTAAAAAAGAACAAGTTGAAAAGTTGAGCCGTGTGCGGCATAATAAAAGCACAACAACAACAACAATGAAATACAAAAAAAAAAATAACCGAAACGACCAAGAAAATTGGGGGAAAACGGAAAAATCAGGAAGTTTGCTGAGGTTGTTGGGGGGCAGTGGGGCGATGGGGGCGAAGGGGGCGGCGCTGAAGACACACAAAGGAAAACAGGAAAAAAGCAATGTGGAGGCAAAACAAACAAATAAGCAAACAAGTCGAGAGCGAGACGTCGACCGACAATGGGAGAGTGCAAAAAGAAGAGAAGATGAT